AAAGCAGCAGTAAGGCAAGAACCACAGGTGTTGTGGAAAAGGCCCAAGACACCTGTCTGGGACTATTCTCAGCAGGTCCATCAGCCTTCATGGTATCTGCTGTGTTTCTTGTCTCCCCAGCAGTAGCTGTTTGTGTGGATATCTCACTTTTCTTAGCACATACACATGCAGCATCAGGTTTTAACTCCCACTGTTGCAAAGACACGTGAGAAATGTGACCCTGAAATGCTGCAAAGGTTCAGAAAGTAAAGCACACTCACAATTTACTTATTCAATCCTAAACTTTGGGGCTGTGCTGCTTTTTGAGTTGACAAACTGGTGTGGGACAAATAGGGTACTAAAATGCCAGAGGTTATCCCCCAAATCAGGTGTCAGAGAGGATAAATGGAGTTTAATGGCATTTCCAGGAAGAACTTCCCTAGATCTTATAGGACCCTCAAAGTCATCTAGCAATCACCAGGAAAAACTCACCAGACAAGAAAAAGGAAGAGGCACAGCAGAACCAGTAGGTCTGGAGGTGATCCAGAAGACCATCTCCAACCCACTGCTGGTACCCACCACTCACTGTCTCCCAAAGGAAATTTCCAGCCACTTGGGCTCACTTGTGTGACAAGTTTTTCTTCCCCTGCCTCTGCTCAGGTGTGACTATATCATCTGCTTTTCAGCCAAGAGGATGCTTCACACTGCAGGATCCAGAGACAAGCCTTGTAATTAGGAGGTGGGTGCCGCCCACCAGTTAATCCCTCCTCCTTCCTCATTGAGCTTGGGAAATATGTAGCCAGGTTTGTTTATATTGCCCATACAACTTATCATTTGTTCATACTGCTTTTTGTCTTCAAAGCACTTCAGAAGGAGTTTTACAAGCTTCTCCCCAACCCTCATGTGACAAAGGATTTGGAAAGGGAATGGAAGGGGAGCAGGGAAAAGGAAAGGTAAACAATTTGCCCCAGGACAAAGAGAGTTGGCTGTAGAGCTAGGATCAACACCCAGAAGCTCCTGCCTCTGAATCTTGTGCTCTGATCTCTGCCTGTACCTCACTATCTTCAGGTTCAAAACTGGTATTGTGTAGCCTGGTGATCATCTTGGTACCAGAGAGCAGGTTTCAAGGAATTTCCTTCAGCCCAGCACTCCTGTGGTCGGAGCCACCGGCCCTAGTGGTCCTGGACCAATGATTAAACTAAAGAATTTCAAATATCTGGCAGTGGTCAGTAAAACCACAATCAACACATTTTCCTTATCAGCACCAGAGGAATGAAATTGTCATCATTCCTATCAGCCAGTACCTGGAAACATCTGGCCCACTTGCCCAAAATTCTTAATATACTGATAACCCTGCCACAGCTTTACTATCGGTACTCCTGAGTTGCTAAGCCCCTTAAATCATTGCTGGGCAGGAGCAAACTCTCTCCTGGGTGGTCCTGGGCCCACAAATTACTTATTTTCTCCCCATCACTGGAACAATCTTGTACTGGAGTTTGTTTTGCTGGTTTTGCTGCAATTTTTCTCTCTTGGTAGAGAAGGAAAGGAAAGCTCAATAATTTGGAGAGAAGAGACACACTCCCCATCTTTGTCTCTTAATCATGAGACAAAATGAAAAGGTTCCAGCAGATAAAGGGACACTCAACCAGAGCGTTCCTTGTACCAGACCCACCTGGTGAGCACCTCCCTCGGGTAAGGTGAGAGCACCACTATCAGCCCCTTGGTCCTGCTGGGAGAGCCCCTACCTAAACCTGCCATTTGCTCTCCTCCTGGCAGTGTGTGTCAAGGCTCTGCCCCTTGCTTTGCTTCCACCCTCCCAGCTGTAAAATAGATGTAAGGCGTCTTTCCCAAAGCCCTCCAGGACCTGATGATGAAGACTCCAGAAGCATTAGAAGACTCTAATGTCACCACTGCTTTGGTGATTACTCCTTTCTGGGGTAGGAGAGGGTGGCAATTACAGGAATCATGTCTTCAGCCCTCTCCGACAGGAGCAGGGAGGGCACAGCAATTTTGGCTTTTCCACTGATGGGTATGCAGGGCAAACAAACACAAAGTGCCAAGGCTGGAGACCGCAGGCACTGGGGGTGATGCAGCACGTGAGACAACCTCTGACACTAGGACTAGGTGAGGACTACCAGCTCCACGCACGTGCAGGCTGAGTAATATCCCAAGGAACCCAAACACACATGGAGATGGCTGGGACTTGAGAAATCTTGCCCAAGGGCCAAGGGGACTCTAGTAAGTGACCACACAAACTTCTGTAGATCCCACATCCATAAAAAGTAAAATAATGTCTCCTCTTAATAACCTTGTTAATGATATCTGCTCTCCTAGGAACCAGGATTGCTTGAACTTCATGTCTATGGAGGAAATCTGAACTTATGCTGAAGCTTTCTGGTGAGTGAGCTTTGCTTGTGTCCCTCTGCTACAAGAACTCTCTGGTGTCTAACAGAGTTTTGGTCTATGCCAGGCATTTCCAGGGACAGTGAGTATGTCTTTCTCTTTCCTCCCCTCAAGACCCATTTTCAAGACACTTGTAGGTGTCCTGAAGCAGAGCACCTCTACTTCTTAATGTTTAAAGAGCACAAAGAGAAGAAAGGTTCACAGATTGACAGGCACACGAGTCCTACCATGAATGGCTTTTCTTTAAGAAAGCAACAGGAAAGAAAACAGACCAAGCTTTATTTTTCTTGGTGAGGAGAAGGGACAATTTCCCGTCCATGATTCAGCCCTGTCATATGGAGACAATGACAGTCCTTTATACTCCTCACAGCTTTGTCTTTAAAACACCGCTCAAGACAGCACACCTCTCCGGGTAAGGTGCAATTACCTGGGAGTTCACTAGCTCACCACTAGCAATTACCCAACTGTCCTGTGTCCCATCAACCCACCCTAATCACCACATCATCACTACAGCCTTAAGACTAGTGGCTCCTACAGTAAATACTATCATTAAACACCTGGGAGTGAATTTACTACCAGCCATCGAGTGGTTACTTGCTGGGGTCACTGCAAACATGCAAACTGAACAGAAGGATTGTTATAAAGTATGATCCCACTCAAGTAAAAGCAGATGCTATTAGCAAGTGACAGGCACTGTTTATTCCATAAAATACCAGGAAAGACAAGTTATTTAATTACGATCTGGGAAAGTCCTGCTTCAGTGGGGCTAACACTCCCAGTCATAAACTCCCTAGGCAGAACGGCTGGGGAGATACAGAGTGAGCTGAATTTGTTCCTTTTTATGGCCTGCAAGGTGTGGGTATGCTTTCCCCTCTCTTGGGTTTCAGACTGACATTACTGTTAATGGGTTTAATAAAGCCTGAAGAATGCACTTGCCTTAACCCTTCAGAGAAACAAGGCTTATTTGAACTAATTGGAGCAGGGAGAGCTGCTGGTCCAAGCAGGATCACCCACTCTCAAGTTGCTGAATTTTAAAAACTGGCTCTAAAACATGATTTTTGAAAAAAGAGTGAAAATATCCAACTTGTTGAATTTACCTTTAGGCTTCTGAATTTTCAGGTTCATTTAGGTTAAACCTCCTGTTAGTATACAGGACAGATGTTTTTTCTTAACTTTTATTTAGATATAAAAAGCATCACTGAATCTCACAGATCTGGTACCTGTGTTTTCCAGGTGAAGCCTATACTGCTGTAAGTCACCCACACCAAAATTCTAAACCTTGGCAACACTGCATTATGCAGGTTTGGTTTTTTTTAACTGACAACTTGTTCTGCATATTCCCACTTAAACAGTGAAAAATGATCTGTGTAACCGGCATGACCCTTTCCCTTTCTCTAATCCTCCGCCCCGTCCTGGGATAGGCTGACTGTGCTAATCTTACATCTCCAGGTCATCAATGGGAATCCAGGTCAGCAATAAAACACTGCCAGCAAAACCCTCTCTGTTCATTTTGTGGTGTCCCTCTGCCTTTTCCTGACACCAGGATCTCGAGGAACTGCTCTTCTGCTACAAGCATGACACTGGGAGGGATCACCAAGTCTCCTCGTGCCTTTGGTGCTCTGGGTAAGAATTGTTCAGGCAGCCCTCAGCCCTTTGCCCTGATAAATAACACAAACTGTGATCTCAAAGGCCTCGGCATTGCTGCCCCACTTGTGGCACCAAGACCTTTCTGAGTCATGGTGCTGCATTTCAGTGTGTGCCATTGAATCCACACAGGACACCAGCCCTTCCACAAGCTCACCACCCACCACGGAGCCAGGAAGCTCCTCTGGGATGAAATGTTACCCTGTAAAGGTGGTTCCTCGTCTCGGACAGCTGGCACATCTTTTTACATGTTTGTCTCTGCTAGTTTTGACAGGTGTAAAACGGGTTGTGGTGAGCGCTGCCTCCCCGTGCCGGCAAGCGTCCTCCCCCAGCAAGCTTCTTACGTTTCTGCGCCCATCTCCCAAGTGGAGGAAAAAGCCTTTTCTTTACAGCACACCCCCACAACGCTCCTCGCTTCCCTGCACACAATTGAGCCCTGGGGGGCCCTTCCCTCCTCACCCTCCCCCCGGCTCCAGAGGAATGGACGTGCAAGGCGGGTTGTGCTGAGACACAACCAGAGCAGCTCTTTATCTGCAGGAAAAGCTTTCATTTCAATTTAAAGCCACCTTCTTCTAGCACAGCTCGTAGCCCTGGCTGTCCTGCAGGGCTTTTATGAGTTTGGTTAATCAGGCGAACCCAAACTTACCCAAAATCAGCTGCTCCGTCCTCCTTGGGGCAAGAGAGCTGACCACAAACTGTCTGAAGGCCGCTTGACTCCCCCCTCGCTGCACAGCTTCTCCCGAAGCACCCCTCCCACAAAATCACTCTCAAACCCCCCACAATCCCAGTGATTTCCTTTGCCCTACTCCCACTTAAAACAAGCCCCTCCACCGCCGTGTCTGTAGACAGGAGCACAGGTGCCGGCGGAGAGACGTGCAGAGCCAATGCCGGCCACCTGACACCCACGCTGGGTGAAACTCATCCCACCTCCAAAGCTGGGGCCGGGGCACGGCCCGGGACCGCGCAAAGGGTACCTGGAGGAGGGCCAAGGGCCCTCCGCGCTGCTCCTCGCCCTCGATGCCTGCCTTTCTCCAGCACCCGCTGCGCTCCCGGAGCCGAGTGGGGACGGGAAAGTCTGGCTCCTCTGCTTCTCGTTGCCAGGACACCTTGGCGTTCAAACCTGAGCTGGGACCAATCAGCCCCGGGGCCGGGGAGCACCAGCCTCACGTCATCCTCCGCTGGCGTTGATTTGAGCGAAAAAGCGTGACAGCGGTCACACAGCCCGTGGGGAGCTGCCTTTGTGCGGGTGGGCTCTGCCCCCACCCCTGCCGCTTACTGGAAGCCTCTTCTGTCGGGCTGCGGAAAACAAAAGAGCCGCGAAGAAGGAAAGGGAAAAGAGAATTTCTCTCCAACTGCCAAAATTGAGTTCGAAAGCCTGGGCTCTTCTGCACGTTCTCGTTCTTCACCTCCTGGCTGCAGTCCAGATCCCGGTGGTCAGCTCACCAGGGAGAGTCAGCACCTGTATCGCTTCATTCTGGGAGGGATGGAGCTTCCCCAGAACTAGCAGTGTGCTCCTTGTCCCCCAGTGTGGCTGCTTCCACCTGCCTGGCTCGGCCTCAGACTGTGCAGCATGGGTGCAGACCCACAGCTCCAGGGATGCTTTCTGGCTTGGCTGCAGTTGGAGGGGTATTTTTTCCCCCAGCCAGCCCCTCCAAGATGTTTTTTACAGGGGCCAAAACTGGAGCCCTAAGCCCCTTATGAGCACACGATGCAAAAAGTTCATCTTTTGTTAAGGAAACTTTCCTGTCTGACCATTCGGGAGGCACTTTGGCTGTCACAGTCCCAAATTTGAGTGCCTCCCGAATGGTCAGACAGGAAAGTTTCCTTAACACCTTGGTGCTGGGTTCTTGGCTCAGACACGTGCAGCTGCTGCCAAGGCGCACACCTGAGTGAAAGATGCAGCCTTGTTTTTTTGGGGTGCCAGTGATGGCAACTAGTGCATTTTGCCTGCCCATAAGTGGAGCGGATTAGACTCACCCTGCTCCTTCCCAAGGTGGCTAGGTCCAGGTGCCTGGGTAGAAACTGAAGAGAGACCTCCACATCACCTTGGTGGTGGTGGTAGGGGGATGGACAACAGGGACTCAGATATCCTGGCAGAGCTTCTTCCCTCGAGCCCTTTAGACTCTCCAACCCAGGCATCTATGTGGATCTCCTTCCTGCTCACAGTTCAAAGTCATAGGATAACATCTGTCATGCCCAGGGCAGATGCTGAGCCTCTGGGATAAGTGTACTGGGTTTCTGCTAACCCTATTGCCTGTAATTTATTCTCCCCACCAGAAGACAACTGAGGTTTTGCCTGCTCCCAAAAGAAGATGACCTGAAGTGCAGTCTGAGTATGCTGGAGGGTGGAACCATAGGATCAACTCCATGTGGTGCTGTGCCTGACTCACTCTCCATTACACCACCTCCCAACCACTCATTTCACTCCATTAATTAGCTACACTGCCGAGGTGCAATTCACTCCCATAGCCCGCACTGGGTTGCTTTCCTTGACACCGTGTGCCAGCAACAATTAATGAATCCAGGCTGCCTCCTCACCCCACTCTGCTCTGCAGGTGGATGTGAATGAGCTGTGGTAGCCTTTTCCCAGTGGACCCGTGTCTTTCCTGTACAGCACCAGGCACCCAGACTGCCCTCCTTGCCTTTGGGCTCAATTCAGCACCTCGTGAATGAGGTATGATTTAATTAAGGACACTGTTTCTGCTGAAGATGGCCCATGTGAGGCTGTAAAAGACTTTAACTCATTAACTTTCTGGACATACCTACAGCTAATTTGTGGTGACTTTATGCAGTAGACAAGCACACAGGGAGGTGTCCATGTGGCTCTGAGTTTGCTCTGCTCATCCTTAGCACCAAGCCTCCAGCAGTGCTGGTTAGACCACAGTTACAGATGTCCCTTGTTTGGCTCAGATATCAGATTTCTCCATTGACTTGATGAAGGAGGAAAAGGCAAATGACAATCACAGAAAGTGATGGGATAGATTTCACCCTCTCATTAGTTCCATCACCCCAATTACAGAGCTTGGGGAGGATGTCAGCTGTTAAAGCAGGGCTACAGCCCCACCATCACACACAAAGCAGAAAGGTGAAAACACTGACATTTCTGGCAGCTTTCCTGAAGGGAACAGACAACATCTCAAGAGATCAGGTGCGTATCAGCATGGAGCCCAGGGGATATGAAAGGATATCCCTAGCAGTGCTGTCAGTGCTTTTAACAGCAGGTTAGGAGGGCTTAACAAGGCAACAAGACCTGGCTGTCTGGGCATTGCTGTGGTGTGGCAACACATGGAAGTGAGTTGCAGTGCTGCACCCATGAGAAAGGCAAACAGCAGCCCTGGCCAGCAGTGGGGCTTGGGGATGAGGCTGTCAGAAATACTGAGCTGAGGTGGTACCAGCTTTTCTCTGGTGGAGAAAGAGCCATTTTCTGCACTTCTTGCATATGATTTAGAAGCATTCCTCTTTATCCTCAACCCATTCCATCCCCACCTGACACAGGAGTAAACTTCTAGTCCCCTGACTCACCGTCCTTTCTCTCAGGCTTTAATGCAGGCAGCTAATCTTGGGTCCCAGTCACCTGGTGAGATTTTCAGTCAAGGGAAAAAAACACACTTGAGAGTGATTTCTCTCTTAAGCAACTGACTCAGCCCCTGGAAGTGCCATCTCCCTCCTCCACACAGGCAGGAGCCAGGTATAACCAGGCATAGTCTTTGTGTTAGATGGGAGAGGAGTCCTGCCTCCAGACAAAATCAAAGGATGTGAGATAACCAAAATATTCCAGAGGGCCTGGGCCTCACTCCTTAGCTAGGAGTCATCCCTCAGCCATCCCCATGCATTTTGTCCAGGCATGGGCAGCACTGGCATACTGGATAAGTGAGCTCAGCTCCCTCCTCCAGGACTCACCAGCTCCTTCAAGAACTGGAGATACTGCCACTGCCAGCATGGGGAGGGAGCACAAAATCCCCTTTTGCACAGCTCTCCTGCAGCCGAGCTGTCAGAAAAGCTGCTGTGCCGCTGGACAATGGACATCCATCCAGACAGCTTGGACGTCTGACCATGAAACTATTATAGTGGAAGAGGGTCCCAGCAGAAACCTCCTTTACTGTGTCACTATAGGTGTCATGATGCAACAAGGCTACAAAACATGCCAAACTAACTCAGTGGTGGGGCAGAATGGACTCATCCAGTCAACCATAGAGGACAGAGAGGGAATATTCTTCTCCAGGGTTCAGTGGCTCAGTTTTGCCCCTTTATGCTTCTCCAAGCAAGATCTGTTCTGCCCGTCATTGGTGGAGGTGTCCCAGCCAGAGCCACCCAACATCACAGGCACTGACGCAGTGGCATGTGGGATAAGACCCTACCTGGATGCAGCATCACAGTGTGATTTCCCTTCAAGCTGTTACTCATTTGTGAGCTCCCCAAAATCCCCAGCTAGCCAACACCAGAGCTGGTGGGCTGGTGGAAGGAGAGAAGTAAACCTGTTGTTTCTGGAGGGGCTGGAAGAGGGCCCAGCAAGTATTGATTCAATTCTTCATTCAGTGAAGCAATTCAGAACTGCTCCATCAATTCAAACTTGTGTAATAACATTAGCCACAAAACTCAGGAACTTGGTCCATCTTTCCTAGCAGATCCATTATTCTGAATCACTCCCTGAGTAACGACAATAAAATGATCTTGGCCTGATACACCAAAGCCAAAGCCCCTAAAATCTAAGAGACAAAGTTTTTGTTATCACCTTTTTCTGGACAAGAATACCCTATGGGAACATGCCAAAGACTCAGTTCCCCATCTTCCCCTTACCTTGAATAAATAATATTGTAAAAGAAGTAAAGGAATAAAGTAAAATTCAGAATATATATTCTTGATAAGAGCATCTTAAAAAAAAAAAAAAGGAAGGAAAACAAAAGAAAATATGCAAACCCCTTTTAGCACTTGGAGCGACTCAAGCCAAGAAAAATAGCAGGGCTGAGGAGAAAGATTGTGTAGGCACTGCCAGGGTGGGAACAGAGTACAGGGAGGGAACTGTAACCCCCACTTATCTACATGTACACTTCACCCTTAAAATAGACTTGACTTGAAGTTATATATTTTCTCAGTTCAGTAATACCTCTAACAGACCTATGTCCATCTCTGCTCTCCTCACATCACCTGCTCTCAGGTGATCATCTTTTTTATCTCATACTTTTGGCTTAGCCTATATATTCCTTGGACAAACTCCAAGGTGGCAATCTCTCTCCCTCCCCATTCCCCTTGAAGGGTTTTCCTTTCCCATCAGATTTATTTTGTCACTTGCCCAGCAGGAACTGAAATGAGGGCAAACAAGTGTATTCATTCACATCTCTGTCTCCATATTATATCTGTCTGACAGGTAAGATGCAAACCCTTCTGTGAATAACAGCTTTAACCATGGCAACGCGCTCCAGCAACACAAACACAAAGGCACTGAGGTTGTAAAAAGGCTGGAAGAAAGAATGAAAGAAGGGGAGGGACCAGGTCTATCAAGGCCTGTTAAGAGCCAGGCACCTGGAACTGAGTTGAGCAAGGTATTAGGGGACCTCTGAGATCATCAAGTCCAACCCTTGATTTTT